CAAAGATAAAAATAGTTCAATAGACATTCAACGTAGGTTTCGATTACAACTCCTTACTTGTAGCAGGGTAGTCATCGATCCGAAAAGACAATGTCCGCATCGCTATTTATGGAAAACGAATTTTATCCTGTGAAGATGTGTGGTTTATGTGAGTATTAACGAATTTGAAATACTCACGGGATGAATGTCGTTCAGACTTTGTTTTTTTGGTTCGACGAATACAGCTAGCTATGTGGTGCTTACGTGAAATCAATGGTATCATAGTAGGTTTGCCTCTTCGATGCATCGAATAAAAACATCGATGCTTACTCGATATTGATGAATTAACATAACATCGGATTGAACATAAATTGTAGATATAACATCCATCAGTTTTGTAAAAATCATACGATATACGTGTATCAAAACACGCCTTGAAAACGATTAAAAACTCTCTCTTCAAGTCTTTTGATTTGCGACATCATACTGTGCGGTGGTAACTTATCATTACATAAACAATGGCGGCTACGAATGAGTAAACGAACCATATAATATGCAAGAGGTATGTGATAATCTCTCAGTTTACAACGGTATAAACATCGTAAACAATTTAACAGTGCTACAACAAAACTGTCTGCGCTTTTATTCGTATGTCTGTCTACACTTATTTATTAAAATTCTTTGAAGTGAATTTTTTTGTGACAAGTCAATCCTCGTATTGATTTGTTGTTTTAAAAAACTTCTTTTTCTTGGTGTCGATTTTTAATTGGTCTTGTTTATGTTTTATTTGTTTTATCCTTCTCTTCGCAAAAAAAAAACTATGCTATGCGGTAGAACTTCTTATTCGCATATGAGTCAGTCAGGATAGGTAGTACCAACGTCTTGCCTATTTCTAGTGCCAAATAGCAGTACTTGCACCGATTTGTTGCAGTCAGAAAGGTATTTTACGTGGTAGAGCCATGCTGCAGTTATGTTAGTAGTATAGTACCACGCTCTCACAGAATACCAGCGTCAAATAGTAGCTTAATGCTGCTGTGTTTCGTATGGTGAGTGGAGACAATCGGATACCCTTTTTTAAGTCCTCACGGGTGACAACGCATCTGTATTTTGATTCGTAATCGAGGATAGATATAGATGTCTATGGGCCACAGCAACCACTTATCATCAGGTGGACTGAGTGCTCGTTTGCCCCCCATCCTATAAAAAAATATAGAGCCTGTATAATTACCGGTTGTAAGGCATTTCATCTCAGTCCTAGGAGGAGACTACGCATCTGTAATCTTCTTCGTTTAAAGTAGTTTGCAGATGTCCAAGGAAGACAGTGGCCACTTACAATCAGGTGGGTTGTAAGTTCGTTTATCATTTCATTTGTATAAAAAAACTCAATTAAATAAATTCGTAAGCTGTTGAATAATATGTTTCTTATGTAAATGAAATTAATAGATTGCAATTTTATTTAAAAAATTTCCCATATCCCACATAGTTTTCGAAATAATAGCAAAAGCAATTCGTTTAAGGCCTCGTCCGCACAGCGAATATTCACCGCGCGATTTTTTTCGCAATTCTGTAACACATTCAATACAATAGGAGTAGCCGCACTAGCGGTATAAAATTCGCTCGAAAAAATCCCCAAAAATCTGTGTTTTGATGCAAATTTTACGCGATGCAGTGCGGATTTATTTCCGCACGAATGTTTTGTGCAGTATGAAGTAGTATGACTATGGCCGCACTGCGAAATAAAATTCGCGGGTTTCGCTCGTCAGTCGTGCACTGACAACGCTGCTGACAAGATGTTGCGCGCTTCATCTCCCGCCCGATCGGCAGGCGCGCAGGAGCTACCAGAAGATGTAAACATTGATATAGAGCAATTAATTGCACTGATGCACAAGTGACCTGCTCTATGGGACAAATTTGACCCAAAGTACCACGTCGAATATTGAAAGCGAGATTGTGGCAGGAAATATATCAACAGATATATTTTAACATAACATAACATAAAAACTCACGCCTGTCACCCAGAGGGGTAGGCAGAGACTACAGACTTCCATTTGGCACGATCCTGACACACCTCTCTTGCCTTCTTCACATCCATACACCTACGCATACATGCTCGTCGGTTAAGGGTACTCCTAATTTGGCCCGTTTTCAATAAATCGCCAATTTGGTCGATAAATTTTCGCCTAGGACGTCCCTTTCCGACTCTGCCATTCACTTCTGCACCATACATTTTCTTTGTCACTCTTTCCTCATTCATTCTTTCCACATGACCAAACCAACGAAGCATTCCTTTCTTAATCCTGGTCACAACATCATCTTGCAAACCACACTCTTCTCTTATTACACAATTTCTTACCCTTTTTTTTTGCGGATGGAAAATCATCTAATGACGCCTTTCGCTCTGGGTGGAGCGTAAGGGAGTGTCAGACTTTTACTGACTAAAAAACATCCGTGTTCCTTCAGTGCCCTTACGTTCCGGAGCCGCGGTATATCTTTCGAACAGCCCGCAACCCCGGCAGGCGTCGGCCCTTGCGGGCCCCTTCACGCTGCTGACAGCTCTTTGAGGCGCGCGTGGAACAAAACGCGCCGTCGACACGGCCTGTCGTCGTTAGACGGACGGACGGCGAGCAATGGGTAGCTCGCCGTCCACAGGCCCGACAATTTCTTACCCTGTCATTCAGATTCAGCCCTAACATACTCCTTAACGACCGCATTTCTACTGCGTTTATTCTACTCTCGTGCTTCTTCTGCCACACCCAACTTTCACTACCATACGTTAAAGTAGGGACCAACACAGCATTGTGAATTGCCATACGTGCCTTTTTCGACACATTTTGACTCTTCACAATAGAGTGCAAGGCCCCATTTACTCTATATCCCGCATTCACTCGTCGTTCTATATCCTTATCATATCTCCCAACCCTGCTAAATACGCAGCCCAAATATACAAACTCATCTACTTGCTCGATCAACTCCCCTTCTATTCTTATTTCACAAATCGTTTTACTTTCTTCTCTTTCAAAAACCATAACCTTCGTCTTACTTGCGTTCACTTTCATACCCCTTTCTTTTAATGATCCGTTCATTTATGTAACCATCATTTGCAACTCGGCCGCCGACGACGCAAGAATAACTTGATCATCGGCGTACAAAAGGCATTTGACGGTTAACTCACCCATTCTTAATCCGCATTCTTCAACTTTACCAATTTTGCAAACAACTGTCCATAAATAGGTTGAACAGCCACGGGGAAGTCACACAGCTCTGTCTGACACCTTTATGGATGTCAAACCAGTCCGAGTAGACTCCGTTGATCCTAACACAAGCACTCGAGTCCCTATTAAGAGACTCCAATGCCTGTATCAATCCAGCGCTCAACCCAAATGAGTTCAGTGTTTGCCATAGCAAATCCCTATCCACTCTGTCATAGGCCTTTTCCAAGTCTATGAACGCACAAAAAACCTTTTGGTTTTTGGCCAGAAACTTCTCCGCGATCATGCGCATGGAAAAGACTTGATCTGTACACCTCCCTTTCTAAATCCCGCTTGCACATCCCAAATTTTTCCATCAGTTTCTTTCACGACCCTTTCAATCAGTACCTTAGCATACAGTTTTCCACAATGCTAAGAAGGCTGATGCCACGGTAGTTTTTACAGGCCTGCTGCGACCCTCTTCCTTCCTTCCTTGGGAACAATATAGTGTTGGTGAAAGAAAGCAAAAAGGTAAGTAAAGTAAAATAGTTTATTATTATAATAAGTTTACAAGTTGACAATAATTATTGTAGGTAAGTATTTCTTGTTGGTCTATGTGTAGTTTATGTGGGACGGGTGTCGAATAAAACCAGGATTTCTTCAGATATCTTCTGTATTGTCAAAAATTATCTTTGCACATTCATTTACAATACGTTTAGAACAGATCCACCATTGTCTAGAACCATAGAGTAGATACAGTTTATTTTTTTATTTCTGGTTTGTTCTTTTTTAATTAGCCCACACCTATGGTCTACTCTTACAGTTAAGTATATGATTATTTATATTTTATTATACTGCCACGAAATTGACCCTTTCGATGAATCAAAATATTCTGCAAAATGTTGTCTATTTTCAATGCTGGATATTCTAGATCTCACTGGAGTAGGGCGTAAACTGTGCAACTTGGTTCCATACAGTTTGTCTTCAAACCTAATTCCATCATGTTTCCGTACGTAATTATGTAAAATGCAACATGCTTTAATTATTTGGTCATAAGTTGTTAGTTTTAAATTCTCCAACTTGTAAGTATGCCAAATGTGCATTCTACAAATCTTTTTGCTAATGTGAGTTTGTAATTAAAAACTCTTTGAGTTATAGATAGGTTTCTTCTCGGGTATGGGCGCATTATGTGTTCTGAAAGAGAGAATGCTTCATCTCCAACAAAGACATAAGGCATTTTTCCCCGTTTACGTCTTTTGGCAGGTGGCTTGGTGAAGGAGGCATTAACTGACCACCTTCAAGCTTCTCACCAAGTGCAGAATTTTTGAAAACGGTAGAGTCACTGCTGCTACCGTAAGCTCCTATGTCAACACTGATGAAATAATAATTGGCATCAGCTACCGCCATCAAAACTAAGGAATGATATTGCTTATAATTATTAAATTCAGAATCCGCGCAGTTAGGCTTTTCGCACTTTATATGTTTTCCATCCACCGCTCCCAAGCAGTGTCGAAAATGGGCTCTTTTATAGAAAAGTTCAGCAGTTTGGCACCAAGTTGTTTCATCTGGGTCTGGCATATATAAAGTTTGTAAACATGACCATAATTTATCGCACGTCTCTTCTATAATTTCGCCAATTGTAGAGATGCCAATAAGATATTCGAAATATAGTGAATAGTAGTTATTTCCTGAAGCCAAGTACCTGCAACAATCATAAAAAAAATATGTAACACCAATAATATAAAATGTAAATAGATAAATCATACCTACAAGACAGTAAATTATTTAATAAAACAGTTTATGTTCATTTACAGGAGCTGATGTGCAAAAAAAATGGAAAATCTCAAGGATACATACTTCAAAGAGGTAGCAGCTGATAAAAACGCGGTGTCGGGTCAAGCCAGAAAGAAAAAGAAAAGACCTTACATACACATGGGAGCACTTTCATTTTTATGCACTCAAAAATCTCTGAGAGATGCGACAAATAATGTTACATACACAGAAAACAGTACAAGTAATGCCGAAGACCTTACTAATCAATCCGGCGAAGACACTGACTCAGAAGTTACACAAAATAAAAGACTGAAAGCGAGCATGCGTAAAAAGAGTAAAAATCTGAATAACAGCGATGATGAGTTATTGAAACTATTGCAGGAGAAAAAATATGATGAAGATATTTCATTCTGTGCAATGCTCATCTCGATATTAAAAAAATCTATCAATAGACCAGAAACACTATGCAAAAATTGAAATCCTGAATGCACTTAACAGAGCAAAAAATATTGACTACCTACACAAAATGTTATGCCCCCTAGATTTCGTCAGTCATCATCATCGCATTCATCATACAATCCGAACACGCCATCACCGTATACAAATACGCCATCACCGTATCAAAATACGCCATCACCCTATCCTATATATGCTAAATCTCCGTCTGATCCGTCTCCTCAAACTCAGTACACGCCATCTCGTAATCCATCTATCATTCCTCAATCTCCGCCTGATCAGTCTTCTCAAACTCAGTACACACGATCTCGTAATCCATCTAACATTCCTCAATCTCAGCCTGATCCGTCTCCTCAAACTCAGTACACACCATCTCGTAATTCATCTAACATTCCTCAATCTCAACCTGATCCGTCTCCAGAAAATGAGTGCACGCCATCACGTAAACCATCTATCATTCCTCAATCTCCATTTGATCCGACTGCACAAACTCAATTCACGCCATCTCGTAATCCATCTATTATTCCTCAATCTCCACCTTATCCGTCTCAGCAAACTCAGTAAACGCCATCTCGTAAATCTAATGTCATTCTTCAATTACAGCCTGATCCGTCTCATCAAGACCAATACACACTGTCTCTCAGTTAAAATTTTCCAAATACTTCATTTAATAATTCTTCGTACGTAGTAGAGGGGAGTGGTTTTGACATGAAAGATTTTATTTTATTTAAATAGAAGTTAATTACTTTAATAAATGATTCTGTAAGATTAATCCTACTTTTTTATTTATCATTGTTTTTTGAATTGTAGTCAATACTTATTTAGTGCCAAATACTTCTAAACATTTTATGAAGATCGATAATAAGGTGCACTTTGAAAAGACCACGTTGCTTTATTTTAATACGATCGATTTTCATGAAATGTTTAGATATACCTACTTGTGGTGCATACCTCTACCTAAATACGGAACATCTTACCTTATAGTTATCGAAAGTCTCTCTTCAGCTGAAACTGCTTTTCTCCAATTTGTATCTTGATAGGTAATAGCTGGACCAACTAGTCGTAGTAAATTATCGAATGATGTTTTACTCATTCTATAATATCTGAAAAACTTTTAACTGTATGTTCGTAGCTCTTGATATTTTATGTAGAAAACTCCTTTCATTGGTCTCAAATCCGTAAAGGGGTGAATCCAGTGTTCATAGCTTCTTTTGATAAGTTCATTACGTCGCCGCCGTAGTATCAAGTAAATCAAAATTGTTCTGTTATCCATTTTAGACGTTCGTTTTGAACGGGGAACTGCATCGAACTGACAAATATCGTGCGGAATTTTATTCGCAGTGCGTAATAGGTGTAATTTTGATCACGGAATAAAAATCGCGAGAATAAAATTCGCGCGGTGAATATTCGCTGTGCGGACGAGGCCTAAGTGTTTTTGATAAATGTGCTACTTGTCTAAATGTAAAGTTCATCTGCAGATTTTTTGTTAAGTTTTACGCCGACGAATTTTAATTTCGAATTTTCGAAATTATATTTTTTAAGAAGAAAGACTTCAATTGGAATGGTTTATGTTTATATTCGTTTACTCGTTGTATATGACAAAGAAAGTAACTGAAAATAAATTAAATTAATTTATTTGTAGTAATAAGATCAAAAAATTAGTTTCTCGTAGATTAACATATAATATATATCTATCTACTATTATATCACCTAACTTTTAGGAAAATCGGGTTTTAAATAATTTAAAATTAGATAAAGGGTAAAGAAAACTTCTTTCAAAATTGGATTACAGAGTCAAAATTATATAATTACTTACTCCCGGCAGTTATCAAATTTTATTAGTAATTTACATGGAAAACTTCAGTCTTCAGTTAATTAGATATGGTTACCTTAATAAACAAGTTACTCTGAGTACGTACTTCAGTAACTCAATCAGACGAAATAATTGCCTCGAACAAGAGTGTTTCGACCTCATGAAGATATACGAATTCGAAAGTGAAACCAAGGTCAGTTCCGGTTCTATTGAAACTTGGATACATCAAGTGTAATGCGTTGATGTCGAAAATTTGCTTTTTCTTACGCAATTTTAATAAGAACAGCTGCTTCTTTCATATATTAAGACTTAATTTTAACGTTATTTACATTACTTTATTCTACCATCACATTTTACCGTGTAATACTTAGTAGTGTAAAAAACTGCACTCCGTTTTGAAGAAGGAAAGTTGTCTGTTTTCTGTTTCACTAAAAATTTTAACGTATATTTTTTATAAAATCTGCTTATCGAGTACTGTATCAGTACAAATAAAAGACGATTTCACGTGTGACTTTTTGTCATACTGCATCAGCATTTAAAACATTATTCATTATGCAAACGTCGACTTGACTTAAAAAAATCTTTAGAAGAATGTCGAAACTACTATCATAGAGTTTATTATACCACCATGTGTACACACAATGAAATATGAATGATGATTTTGAAAGAAAAATTAAAATAAATGCTTACATTTTTGAATCAGTAAGAAGACAGCTCATAGAGTGTTATTAAAAGATTCATAGTGCGTTTTCTAATTTTTTTCACCCATATCTTTACAATAACTTTAAAGTAACTTTTGAATGAATTGACCAATAGAGGTCATTTTAACACAATATGTTACTGGGGGCTGTTTAATCAAAATTTTAAATTCGCTCTATAATAAGTCCGATGTGAATTCAAAATAAAACTTATCGCGCCATGTCCCGAAATTATAATAACGCCATGACAGCTAGTGAATTATAAATGATTATTCTATTTTAGCATGTATACTCATAGCGACCATGCGATGGTACTATATTTGATACTACCTGTCTTGCCGATGTTCTTCTTTTCAGTTCGTTCTTTTTTGAGACTAAACAAACATTATGTAAATAATTATGGTGAATAAATTTTAAACACGAAGTTACGCGATCATTTACAGACGCATCAACGATCATTTAAAGACTCGCTGACTTAACAGACATTGTTACCGAAGAGCACTTTGAATCGCAATTAACAATTTTATTGGTGCCAACGGGGTTTGAACTCAAACTGCTTGCATACTGTGAAATTTACAGTAAGCATTGAGACCCTGAGCTAACTCGTCTCGGCAACAATATTTTAAATAATAGAGATGTACAAAGCAAATAATAACATTTAAGAATGTGACTTTGAACTTTACGCGTGCACTGATCTGATTCTGATCACGTTTTAGCAGAAATGGGGCATGTTCGCTGTCCTCAATTTCCTTGTATGGTTAAATGAATTTTGCTAAAGACAGACTTTGAGGACATTAGATACTTTTATGTTAACCTTTATAAACTGCACATTGTTGTATGACATTGAGTACTAAATATCCAAGTATAAGTGACCCTGCACTTTAGATTGAAAACTAAAGTGTTGGCTTTTATAGCTTTCATATATAATTGTTTGAAAAATATTTGTTTATGAATACCTAGTCTAGTTTTTAATATTTAGAAGTACTCATATTTTTTTATAGGAGAGGGACCAAACGAGCATACGGCTCACCTGATGGTAAGTGATTACCGTCGCCCATGAACAGCTGCAACACCAGGGAGATTGCAGATGCGTTGCCGGCCTTTTAGAAGGGAATAGGCTCTTTTCTTGAAGGTCCCTAAGTCATATCGGTGCGGAAAAATCTCTAATGGTACTTTAATTAAAACACACTTTAAGGGCATAAAAATTCAAAGTAATTACCTGACCCTGACGCGTCATCATAATAATCATCATCATCGTAATCAAGAACTGCATGCAACTGTGTTTTACCACCAGAGCCTCCCGATTCTACTTTTGCAAAACCACGAGGCTGATCGGTGGGAGCGTTTGAATTGCTACGACCTGCACTATAGTCACTTCCACCACTGTTATCACTTTTAGTTCCTGTATCTGATCGCGGTTGCTGCGTTGGTGATGTCACTGGATTATTTCCAAAGTATTTGTTCACGTTCTGGTTCGGATTCCCATCCAACCTTCGACTAGATGCCTGATCGGGTATGGTTGCAGGCGGATAAGGAGCATCCGCATACCCGGGGTTGTAAGGTGGGCGCAGTGCACCATCCTTATTTCTTCTTTGCTCGTAATCATAGTCTCCAGCTGGATCGTGAACATATTGTCCCGTGTTGTCATACTGAGGGTTGACCTGTTGAACTCGCTGGTTTGCAATGTCCATACCAAGTCTAGTATGTACGTGGCCAGTGAAAGGGTTGAGTGGAATATCCTGTCGTTGATACTGCGTGTATTGTTGAGGAGGAGGAAGGTAAGCAGTGCCTGCTCGCTTTCGCAGTTTTGATCGTCGCTGCTGAGGTTGATTTTGAGGCGGAGAAAAAGGTTCATTGTCGGGGTACTGGGGTGTGTTTTCTTCTTGGTAATCCGTTGGAGAGAAAAGAAGGTCGTCAAGGTCTACGTGTAGAGGCGCAGGAGTAGTGACTAACAGCGCCGGTGTCGCTGCGCCGACGGACGGCACCGTAAAATTCACTACAGCCATGGCTCAATAGTCACTCGACATTTCTATGCAATACCAAAAAGCCTTGGGGATGGTACTGCTGTTACAGTTTCATTTGCATAATAACGACGTTTGCAGCGTTTTTTTGTCTCCTTAAGTATTACTTAGTGTCGCATGTAACGGTCCATAATGCACCACAAAAATCTGTAACAAAAAAAATTAACAGTCATTTGTTATTTCTATTTTATCCTTATTTGGCAGATAATGTACAGTTCACGAACATTTAAGCTAACGCTTATTTCTGGGATTCCCTTATTCAATGACATCCTTGCCACTTTACAAATGGCACGGCTATTTGAAAGGAGAATCGTGACAACTCCTTATGAATGTCGACATCAAATAGTTTCGGACTCGAAATACGGAAAATCCGATACAAATTATACGCTTTGTCATAGAATACTTTTTATCTTTATATCCTACATTATACAAATAGTATGATATACATTATAAATATTAAAATATCGTATGTTTCCTATACTCGTTTAACGAAATAAAACTGATATTGCTTATATAGTAGATAGTAATTCTTCTGTCTGTGTGTATGTAATGGCTGGACTGATTTTGGCAAAATTTTGTGTGTGTGTGTGTGTGTGTGTGTGTGTGTGTGTGTGTGTGTGTGTGTGTGATTAAGTTGATTCGAGAATGGTTTAGATTTACAATTAGACCCGGTAGGTGGCGCTGTTGTCGAGATCCAGAAGTAGTCTGGGCGATACCGGGGCGGATTGCTAGTAATAGTATAATAACACAGTGACAGGCTTTAAAGACCCTATTGCTCTAGGCACATCGTTATTGGAAGGTTATATAATACATTTAGATTCTACGCCATTTTTCTCATGCATGTCAAGAAATCACAATATAGTGCAAAACAAAGTCGCTTTCCGTGCTTTTTTTTACAGAATAAAGGAGACAAACGAGCAAGCAGTCCATCTGATGGTGAGTAGGTGCTGTGGCCCATACAGATCTACATTTATCCTCGATTAAGAATCAAAACGCAGATTGTCACTCCTAAGGACTAAGATGGATTGCCTCGTAAAAAAGAGATTCCGGATCTTTACACTCACCATATGAAACACAGCAGTATTAAGCTGCTATTTTACGCTGGAATTTTGTGAGAGCGTGGTCCTTCCCCGGTCGAGGCGACCTATTCGTGCTACAGCCAAAATATAGCTGTAGTGTGGCTTTACCACGTATAATATTCATTTCATTCAATTCATTTCTTTATTTAAAACAAAAAAACTATTTGATGAAATTTTCACCATCGTTTAAAAAAATTCTCGGCGAAGATTTTCGAGTATAACACATGCATATTTAATGTTAAAGATCTTTTGGCGTTTTGAGATCAAGTTGTAAAATAAATCTAAGCCAGGGCAAATTGCTTGCATAAATAGCGGAAATTTGTAATTAACCATTTCAGGTTTCGTAGAACTTAAGGTCATCGCTCCTGACCATGATCTAACACAGCTCTACCTTTAAATACAGATAAAAAATTTAATAACAAGTATAATTCTGACCCAATTTCGTTTCAATAGCAGTGAACTTACTATTATACAATATTGAGCATATTATAGATAAATTGAGCAAATTTGCGTTACATTTTAAATAGTTAGCTAATCGTTTATTGAACAATTATTCAATTTATCTTATAAATGATTGCTCCTTCACATAATTAAAATAACTCATGGCAATTTATGTATGCAAAAAGTTACAGGAGGAAATCGAATCTTATGGATGAAATTAGCCAAATATTACTTTTTCACAAAAAATTGGTGATGAAATAATTACAAAATTATAATGCATAATGCTATAATGAAAGAATAAATTAATGCATAACACAAGACAAGCTATTCACTACTGTGGGAAAAATAGATTTTCCATGAATCTTAGCTTTCTTAAAATTAATCAATGTCGCAGATCATGCTATTTTTTTCAGTATTTGCGTAGTTAGTTGCAGGAGTGCAAACGATAAGGCGAAATTCATCTCAATGGTGTTATTGTCTTTATTTCAAATTGCATTATTCACATATTACATTTTTGTTATAATACGGTGCATTTTAAATAAATATCTAAAAAAACAAATTTGTCTTTTTTTATAGAATAAAGGTGACAAACGAGCACACAGTCCACCTGATGGTAATTGGATGTTGTGGCTCATAGACATCTTAATTTATCCTCAATTAAGTATCAAAATGTAGATGCGTTATCACCCTTTGGGACTGAGATGGAAACACCTCGTTTCCAGTAAAAGGAGTCCCTGACACGACATTCGATATACGAAACACAGCAGCATCAAGCTGTTATTTTACGCTGGTATTTTGTAAGTGTGTAGTCCTATCCCTGTAGTACTCCCTACCACGGCAATACCAAAACAAAATTTACAAGAATGATAAAATTTCTACATAACGCAAAAGTTATTTTAATATTTTTAGTTTTTGGTGTCGGTTGTCAAATTTTGTTAAAAGTTCAGTTTTTTTTAATCTTTTGAGTGCACAGAGGAATATAACAGTTTCTAGGTGACAACAAGAATCTCGTGTGAATAGTTAAATTAGTATAAAATAAATATTTTTTTTCTTCAAATTCTTAATTATAATTTGAACAAAGTGAAACTTCTATACGACATAATATCATTCTTCTTTTATTATATATTGTACATAAGTTGGTAAATAATAGTAGGTATATGCATGAGCTTCAGCGGTGAAACGTTACAGGAAAATGTGTCATTTTGTTTTTTAATACCGTACTAAAGTTCTCCACTACTTCGATGAATAAGTTTCACTTCAAAAAAGAGTTATTTACGAAAAATCGGTGATCAAACATAAATAAACGTACGTGTTTAATATAGAACCTCCTCGTTATTAGTACTCGTTATTGTTGAAGAAAATTTATTTTGGTCCGTTGTAAATTGTCCGTTGGTTCTGCATACATGACGCGTATAACGTGTAAATATAAATTTGAATAATTTTGGCATAATTTGTCGCGTGTTGTCCTTGCACGCTCGACAAACGATAGTATCGTTGAACGGCATCAGAATCACGATGCGCATGCGCATGTGGGAACCTTACGATGCGACATATGGGAACTAAACATGCAATTAATCAAACGAAAGAGTGTTACATTGTTTTGTAAGCAGGTAACCTCCATCAGCAACATTAATGTCTTCTTAAAGAGGTCGTTATTTGAGTTATTTGGTATTGTTCGGTCAATGTTCCGAAATGTTTGGTGTAAATTTTCCACATTCCGTTTGGAAAATTTTACCATCAACAATACGCTAGCTCTGTCGGTTTAGTAACTAGGTTAATATTAACGTCGATAGTTAAAACTATTTATTTTCAAGGTGCGCATTTATGGAATCAATAAACATATCAGCGTTTGCAACAGACAGCGATGCTACTATATCCTTTATCAATTGGTCAAATATGTACATATCGTTATTTTTTAAAGTTTACATTTAAATTGTAAGAGAAGATAAGAATCAGAAAAAAATATTTTCGAGAACGGTCTCTAATGGTCTTTTTGACTTGAAATACTACATATGAACATATATTTTTTTTTTACTTTAACGAAAATATTACACATTAAATAAACTGAATTAAAAATAGAATTATAACAAAAATACTACACATTGAATATATTTTTCACTGATTTTACAGATTTTATCGTGTTAAATCTAACTTTTAAATTCGTAACGAGAGCTGATTAAAACTACTTTTACGGATTTTATCGCGTTTAATTTTAATTTTAATTATTTTTATTTTTAATTCCCGACGTTTCGGGTGCTTTCCCGCACAGTCAGTCAGTTTTAATCAATGTGTAGTTTTCGCGTAAATATAAGAAATCATTCGTAACAAGAGCTGTTAATAACAGGACCCAAATCAACAGGTGCCGGTTCCTAACCCCAGAATAAATATATACTTCGCTAATAGTTCTACAGTAGCCTAATGGCAGGGTGTGGACCGCGAACTCAAAAAGTTCGTGGGTTCGAATCCACCATTCGACTACTGGAGTGAACCACTCATAACACAAGCAATTTAAGCTTACCACGAGTGGTTAAGGGGAATATTAGTAATGTTTGTGGCATTGTTAATATTCTTTTAAAAAAAAATAGTTTCTGAATATGTTAAATTAACGTTAACAAAAGAAATTTAAATTAGTTTTGCAAACAGTAAAATATAAAAAGTGAATTACAACTAAAAGTGATTTAATTAAATAATGTAATTAAATTTAATTTCTGCCTTGGATATAAAAAGTGATAATGTGTTAGGAATTTTATGAAATTAAGCAAATGCACCTTTTATTTAAGTGAGTATCATAAAGCATTTTCTTCTAACTAATATTTAAATAAAAAAAAAAAAAAAAATATATATATATATAGTATTACATTTGAATATGGTAGTCGTGACTCGTGAGCTCGTGACAGCCTCTTACTCTTATTAATATACAATTGACAAAATAGGCTTTAGATTTTAACTTCACACTTTTATGGATATCTAATTTTAAAACGAAAACTTGAAGTTGCTACTGTCTTTAAAAGTTTATAATTTAAAAACTAACTTGGCACACAAAAAAAAAGACTTTCTCAATTTCAGAAATTCTTAAAGTCAATTAAGGACTTCAATTTATCAATGCTATTTATGTAACGTAAGTTTTATTTTCTAATTTGTTAATCAAAAGTATTCATATATATTTCCTTGATTTGTACCGTTAAACCATTAATGATTTGTATGTGTACTCAAATTCAAAACTAACGCATAGCTTTACATAAATATATAATTAATTTGTTAAAATATATGTCACATAATCCACTTCCCCATATCATCCCATGAAGCTCTTACTTCATGTCGTAAGAGGGGAATGAACCAGAACACGGGCAGCAGCAATATATAAAAACTGAAAATAAAATAAAATAATGCAACTTATTGAAAATTTAGAATACTTTCTATGAAACTGTAATAAATAAACTAATGAACATAACATCAACGTATGCA